TGTGTGTCACATGTGGTGCTGTTTATAGGCACAATATGTGGTGTGAATTCTTTCCCCGTCTCAAGCTAGCATGTTTCCCCCCAGGCGGGCTATCGTTAGCTATCGGGAACAGATACATTTGGACTCGTATGAGGAACACCGGTCTCCATCTGAAGGATGTGGGAGTGCAACTGGTTTGTGATGAACTCAGCTGGACTGAAGGAATGCCCACTTGCCTTTGCATTCAAATCTTCTCAAACAATACAACTTTAAACTAGAAAAATATAGTTTCAATCATCCTTATTATATCTTTATGTTTAAGTTATTATTCATCTGGATGTCATTCTTTCATCTTGAACAACTACAAAGCTATTTTTTCCCTTCTTACAACTCAAATATTCAGCACAGGCAACATTTTCACTTTGCTTCAGTCCAAGTGAGATCATTACTTTTAAACAGCCACCCTCAGTCTGATCCATTACAGAAGGGCAACTCCAGCTGGGATTGTGAAATGCTGCAGTCACTTCTCGTTAGCTCTCCAACACCAGCTTCACCCGTCTGTCAGCTGCATGCCAGTACAGTATTTTATGATGAATATAGCCTCGAGAAATCTTAGCCATCAGCCTTGTGTACTTTAATCAAGCGGTTTGATCAACTATGTTGTGAAAGCATAATTTTACCTCCCTCTTTTGTCAGCCTGAGAGAAAATGACATTCAAGTTGACTCTCTGTGGGCAGCAGGTATAAGGTTACCAAGTAAGAATGTGTCTGTGCTCATCCCACTCAGGAATCGTTGGTATGATAACACAACCAGCTACTAAGGGGCCTTTTCTCTATAAAAGAGGGGCGGGAACTGTAATTAAACCGTTTTTGGGAAATAAACTTACATACATTCCACCACAGCAACATGTTACATGACTAATCTTCTTTTTATGAAGGCCCATGCAGGCATTACATTCATAGCTTCTACCAATATGGCAGACAATAGAACAAGGAACCGTGTAACTCTCCTTGGAAAACAAAAATGTTGCTCAGAAATCAATTGAATTTATTCTGATCCTCTCACTATATTCCCACAAAGGAAGAAGAGCAGGATTTGGTTGTTGCAGAGCTTAGCGAGGCATGTCCACCAGGAGCCTCTTTCTCCAATGCTTTACAGTTTCTTCACTTTTGATAGCCATTACAGCACTGAGAGCATTTGCCCGCTGGAATGGCGAGCATTTCCTGGGTTTCTGAACTATCAGTGAGAAAAATGTTAGAGCTGCGACCAGCGCGCTCACCCAAGAACTGCTCCAGTGCAACAAGGATTTGGAAAAACAAAGAAACAACCAAAACAATGGATTCTGGTGGACAGAGCTGCTGCATGAAAACACTTGGGAACACTTACTTTAGTCAAAACAAAAAAAGTTGTCTCTGGAATTTCTGGGAACCTAAAGGAGTCATATTCTGACTGCAGCACGGGAAAACAAAAGGCTTATGTCCCGCACTGTATTTACAAAGCTTGAATTGGCTCCTGTGATTTGTGTGTAAAATGTTTGTGTGAGGGTGGGTTCAATTGTTTTTCATGTCAATTTGCTTTCTCGCTGCTGTCGAGATGTTAGAGAAGGTCAGACTGGTAAGATGACAGACTGTTCGGTTGTAGCTGGTGTGGCATGCCCATCTCTCTGATGCAGTTCGGCGGCGATTGGCTGCTTCTATTCAACACAGCTTCGCCTAAAGGTCGTCCCCGTCCGATAACTGCCGGCCTCCCTGAAATGACGCAAACCATCTGTTGTGTCACATGCCAACAAGCTGCACAGATGTGGCGCTTGATGCTGGCTCCAAACAGTCCCGACAGACTTTAACATTAAAAACCAACAGTAAGCACTAAGTTGTAGAAATGTGGCATGAGCATTAGCTGATAACTAATAATAATAATAATATAATAGCCCTTTTTCACTAGTATCTGCTTAGATCGACTCTGTTTTGGCCGTTTCCATTACAAGTACGAC